AATATATTTTTTATTAAACAATCGAATAAATAAAATAAATAAAAAATATAAATAATAACAGAATAAGAATAAAAGAAATATATATAATAAATAAAAATAATAAAAACATACATAGAAAAAGAAATAAAAAAATAAAATATAATAAACATAAATTAATAAAAGAATAATAAGAAAAGATAAAATAAATAATAAAAATAAATAAATAATAAAATAATAAACATAATATTTATATTAATAAAATACTAATTAATATAATTAATAAAATCAAATATAACATAATATAAATAATAAATATGATAAATAAGAATAAAATAAACACAAAAAATAAGAAATAAAATAAATACAAGAATACAAAAACAAATATATTCAAATAAAAAAGAAATAATATAAAAAAGAAGAGAAAAGAAGAAAAATATAATATATAATCAAATATAAATATTATATGATTAATATATAATATGTAATATATAATAAATAATAAATAATAATTTCATATAATATAGATAGAAGATATAAAAATTAAATAAATAATAATAAATGATAAAGAAATAATAAGAGAAAAGAAATGATATAATAATAAATAAAATATATAAATGAAAAGATAAATAAAATCAATATAATATAAATAAAATAATAATAAATATAAAAAGAAAATTGATATAAAATATAAAAATATAATAAAAATGAAAATAAGATAAAGAAATATATTCATATATAATAAATTATATATAAATAGAAATATATTCATATATAAAATAAAATATAAATAATAAGAATATAAAACAAATAAAACATGATAAATATAATAATAAAGAGATAATATGATGATATATATAATATAATAATAAAATATATAATAATAAAATATATAAATATATAATAATAAAATACATAAATAACATAATAATAACATAATAATAAAAATGTATAATTACATTGAATCAAATATCATTTTCTGAATCATTTATATTTCATAACAATTTACCATAAAATAATATAAAATATAGACAAATATAAATGAATATAAAATGAATATTTAATTTAATTTTTATTTTTTATTTTTTTAAGAACAAAATCATCATATGGGATAATAAGAAAATACACAGGAAATAAACAATACAAGAAATCCCCATATGAAACAGTGTTCCAATACAATGACATCACTATGATATGGAACAAACAAATAATGCCAAAAAATGATGGACTATATCATAAAAGACCAGATATATATGTACTAAATAAAAAGAATAAAACAGGTCTAATATTTGATATGAATATTGTGGCAGATCATAATATTAATGGAGGCTATTTGAAGAAAAGAAATATGTATAAGGAATTGAAAAATAGGCTAATGAAAATAGAGAAATTAAAGGATGTCAAAATAATTCCAGTAGTAATTTGGATTAATGGGCTAATAAATGCGGAAAGTATTAAATTAATTAAACAATTAAAAATCGAAATTGACATCACTAAAGAAATCAAAAACCTTGTAATTAAAAACATGATGGACGTCATGGAGCACTGTTTCGATCACAACCAAACATATGTAGTGGAACTACATGAAGAAGACTGAGGGAAGGGATTAGTCTCCCCTGAACCAGGAACAATAGACACAAGTTCTATTAATACTTAATTAACTACTTTATCTTTTTTTTAAGAACAAAATAATAAAAACTATTATTTTATTTATTCAAAATATTTTGCCCCATAAAGAAACAGTAAGAAAATTAAAGACACTAAAATTACAAATTGACTTCAACAAAATACTACGAACAATCATTATTAAAAACATGAAAGACTTAATGTTCTACACATTCAACACTGACAACACATTAGAAGAAGAACATTCTAATTCTCATATATTAGAAATGAAATCTAAAAGAGAAATAGAATAAAATGAAAATACTAAAATAATCAATTCATAATAATCATAAAATCAAATGAAAAATAATCAGTAATGACAATTAATTATAATTATTTCTTTTAATTTAAATTCTTTGTTTTTATTCATTTTCTTTTTGTTTTCGATTTGATATATCTTCTTTTTATTTACATCTTCTTATTCTTTGTTTGCTCTTTGATTCAGTTGGTATTTTGACTTTTTCCAATTTTCTTGTTGTGTTTTTATTAAAACTTTCAATTCTTGTATTCATTCTTTCTTTTTGTTGTTTGTTTTGTTCTTCATTTTTCTATCTTTTATCTCATTAATTTCATTTAATGAATAACGTATGGTTTAATGCATCATTAACCAGTGCAATTCAGATGGTGACAACCAACAATAAGTTACTTCTTCTACTTGTTGTCAGTAAACCAACAGACGATGACTTTGTTAATAACTTTACATGTCAAATGAGAGAATATCTGAGTGTATGTGTATCAATAGTTATGGAGAAGAATAGTGAGGAGTTAGCACTCTTCAAGTTGTTATGTTTGTTAGTATTCTGTTACAATGAAGTACTGATGAATAGACAACCACCCCATCACAACACCATCATTGTTTATCATGAACAAAGGAGGATTACAGCATGTTTTGAAAGAAGATGAAGTTTACAAAGAAAATGTTAAGAGAATCATTGAGATGTACATTTCAGAAATACTTCAACACAACCAAAAGATTCAAACAACAATCAAGAGGATGGTATGTGGAGAAACAACAGAAAGAGGATTTGATGAGAATATACAAGAGAAGATAGAAGAAGAGAAAAAAAAGATAGAAGAAGAGAAAAAAAAGATAGAAGAAGAGGAAGAAAGACAAAAGAAAATAGTAAGAATCAGAAAGATACAAGTGGATGAAGAAAAGAAAAAACGCAAAGAACAATTAGAAAGAGAACAAAATAAAGAAAAAGAAGAAGAAAAACGAATAAAAGTTGAGAAAAGAAGAGAAAGAGAGATTGCAATTAAAATGACTGAAGAATTAAAAAAAATAAAAGCACGTGAAAATCAACAATCTCGTGCTTTTGCTCAATACAAGAATGATGAACACAAACTTTCATTAAAACTAAAAGACGATGTATTAAAGAAAAGAAGAATCCAAATCGGCGTTCGATTACCAAATGGTGAAATTAAAAAAGCAGTGTTTGTCAAAGATGATCAACTCTTTACTGTTTATAACTTTGTTCAAGGATTTGGCTTTGATGGATTTGTTTTTGTAGATGGTCGTTCTCACAAAGAAATAAATAACTTAGAAGCTACTCTTGAAGAACTTCATTTTTGGCCTTCTTTCTATTTGCATGCTGTCTTATTTAATAAGACTGACCCTTCTTACTATCAATAATTAATTCTCTTTATATCTTCTTTTATTATTTATATATTAAATAAAAGTAATTAAATAAAAATCAATTAAATTCAATCCTTTTTGTTAAAGACCTCTTCCATTTCTTTTTGAGCAGCTTGGAAAGCTTCTTTGAATTGTTTACAAATTTCAGCAGTATTAAATCTGAAAGTAAAAAGCATTTGGCAAGGTGTTTCTTGAGCAAAATCTTTTCCAACAGCATACATAATGCATTTGTCATTACTTGGGACATCTTTCAAAACAACTTTAGGATGACAAAAATGATCACATGCAAGTTTGAGGATTTGATCTCTGATAAGAATAACACGACTGTATTGAGTTTTTGGATGTCGAAGAATTTTAATATCACCTCTTCCTCTTTCTTTCCATTCTTTTGCTTCAGCATCATATCTCATACAAAGGGCTCGTGCTTCAAATTTTGTTTCTTCTTCAGATTTTGGTTGAGGAATTTCCTTTAACTGAACTACTGGTTCAAAATGGATATCAGCTTCAGCTTCTGGATCATCTAAAGTTGTAGTATTATTTGGTGTGATTGTTTTATTATCGGCTTCAGTAGCAGACATGATTATATTGGTTTTTAATTTCTTGATTCAAATTAAATAGAAAACCCTTTTAGGGCCCTTAATAAACTTAAAAATAATTTTCTTTTAATTAAAATTTTTAGAAATAACCAATGAAAAAATACCTTTGACAAAGATAATATTTATGGTCAAAACATTCACTATTTAAAGAATTAACTTAATGAAGATTATCAACAAAGGAAGTAGAATAAAATGAACGGCTTTGGTTGTTCAGTTGTAATATAGTATTAATTGAAAGAATACTTTATTAAAAATAGCTATCATAACTATTGACTACTTCTCAAAGGATTAAGAAATTTATTTTTTTTAAGAAGAAGTTTTTATTTTAACACATCTTTTTTTAAATAAGAAAGTGTTTTAATTATTTTCAGTTACACTTTTTCAAATAAAAAGGGAAAGACATTATTATAATGAAAAAGTTAAAAAAATTTACTAACTTTGTGAAAAGAATGTTGTAAAATGATTTAGATAACCCAAAGAAATATTAAAGCATAACTATAATTTTTGAAAAATGAATAATTAAATAATAACACATAGACTTTGTCTCTTTCCTTTTTATAGCACAAATTTATTTTCATATATTCTATTAAACTTGTTAACATGTAAGTAAGAAATTTAAAACCTTCAAAGAGATAACATACTAAATAAGTTATTGTGTGACTTCTCTGAATATTTCTAGGTATCCCTTCAACAAATCTCACGTTGTTCCGAATGATATATAATTTTAAAAATAATAGACTTATTATAAATAAAGAAAGTAATCAAAAGAAAATTAGTGCCACATTAAAAGAACTAAGTAAGTACTATTGTTTAATGATAATTTTTTAAGTTATAGTTAAGAAATTTTTTCTAAATTTGATTATTTTAATATTAATCATATTAATAGTATAATAGTTCTTAATAATAAAAGAAGTAACAAGTTCAAATAATTGCAGTAAAGTATTAAAATAAAAGATATTTATGTAGATACTCATTCAGTTGATTAAAAATTTTTATTATGATGAATAGGATAATGAAATTTTTGTAAGTATGACTTTGAGAGTGAAAGAATTAGTACAGTAATAAAGAAATAAATAATAAAATATAGTTTAATTATAGTTTGATAATGATTTATTTTAGTTTTTATTTAGAGAATAGAAAACAATAGATAAATATATAAAAGAAAAAAGTTTGAAAGAAAAAGGAGTAAAAAAGAAAAGGAAGTAATTTGTTCTGGAAAATACAATATTATTCTATTTAAAATAAATAAAAAGAAAGAAAAGAAATAGAAAAAAGAATAATTCTTCTTTAATTCGACTTGACTTCTAAATATTCTTTTAGAATCTACTGACATCTTCAATCTTCCACCACAACAATTTAAGGAAATATAAAGTTAATTGCACTGAATAATCATATTAAGAAAAAAATGGTTGATTTATATGAACAAGCTGCACTTTGGTTAAAATGGGATAAAACACCAGAAACTAGAAAAGAAATTGAAGACCTTGTTGCTTCAAAAAATGAAGAAGAATTAAAGAAAAGATTTTGTAAAAGAATTGAATTTGGTACAGCAGGTTTAAGAGGAAAAATGTGTGCTGGATTTAATTGTATGAATAATCTTATTGTACAACAAGCATCACAAGGACTTTCATTAGCTGTAGAAGAGCTTGTTCAAAATGCACATGAAAAAGGTGTTGTAATTGGATATGATGGAAGGTATCATTCAAAAGAATTTGCTGCTATCACAGCAAAAGTATTTCTTTCAAAAGGATTTAAGACATATCTTTTTTCAACTCTTTGTCCAACTCCATGGACTGCTTTTGCTGTTGGATATCTTAAAACTGCATGTGGTGTTATGGTAACAGCATCACATAATCCAAAAGCTGATAATGGATATAAAGTTTATTGGGAAAATGGATGTCAAATTGTAGAGCCAATTGATGCTAAAATTGCATCCAAGATTCATTCTAATCTTGAGCCATGGGATTTAAGTAATGTTGATATTTCTAAAGTTATTGATCCTCTTGCTGATGTTTCTGCTGAATATTATAAGCAAATGATGTTAACTGTTCCACACTTTGTTTGTCCAGAACAACCAAAAGTTAAATATGTTTATACTGCTATGCATGGTGTTGGTTCAAGATATGTTCAAGACGCTTTTAAAGCTGCTAAACTTCCACAACCAATTCTTGTTCCACTTCAAAATGAACCAGATCCAGAATTCCCAACAGTTCCATTCCCTAATCCAGAAGAAGGTAAAGGTGCTCTTAAATGTTCTATTGAAGTAGCAGAAGCAAATGGAGCTACAGTAATTATTGCTAATGATCCAGATGCAGATAGACTTTCTGTTGCTGTTAAATCAGGAAATGGATGGAGACAATTTACTGGAAATGAAATGGCTAATTTAATTGCAGATTGGACCTATAATAAATATATTGCTAGTGGTGATAAAACACCTGCTTTTATGGTTAGAAGTACTGTTTCATCATCATTTATTAGTAAAATGGGAGAGGTTGAAGGATTTGATACTTATGAAACATTAACTGGATTCAAATGGATTGGAAATAAAGCTAAAGAAATAGTTGATACACAACATAAGAAATTACTTATGGCATATGAAGAAGCTATTGGATTTGTTATTGGAAATATGTCATATGATAAAGATGGTGTTAGAGCTGCTGTCTGTTTTGCTGCTATGGCACTTGAATATGCAGAACAAGGAATTACTTTAGAAGATAGATTAAATCAAGTATATGAGAAATATGGATATTTTGCTAGTAATAATAAATATTATTTCTGTTATGATCCAAAACTTATGGAAAAAATCTTTAATAAAATGAGAAACAATGGTCAATATTATTGGAAGTTCGGTAAATATGCTGTTAAAAGTATTAGAGATTTAACTGTTGGAATTGATACTGCTCAACCAGATAAAAACCCATTACTTCCAGTTAGTGCTTCTACTCAAATGATTACTTATACTTTCGAAAATGGTTGTAAAGCAACTTTAAGAGGATCAGGAACTGAACCAAAATTAAAATATTATATTGAACTTCCAGGTAAGAAAGGTGTCAAACCAGAAGATGTTATTGCTGAATTAATGGACCTTTCTCATGAACTTCTTCAAGCCTCTCTTGAACCAGAAAAGAATGGTTTAGTCCCACCAAAAGCTGAATGAACTAATTCAATTTATTTTCATCATCTCAAGTTTTTCTTTTTATTTATTTCTTTTCATAAAATGAAAAGAAATAGAAAATATGTGTTTGAGATGATTCAATCTGAAGTAATTTTTTAACTCTTCTTTTTTTAGGAATAATTTCAAATACTAAAATACTATTTTTAGAGAACAGAAAAAAATATTTTAATATATATAACAATTATAATAAAATAAAAAGAACTTAAAAATAAAAAAGAAAAACTTTATATAAAACTCTAAATAATTATAACGGAAATCTATGTCAGGGAAAGGCAAAAAACCATTGACTGAAAAAACTGAAGTTATGAAAAAACATTCGTCATTAGCAAATAGCGGAGAAGTAGAACAACCAACAGTAGGGAATGTTTTTGTTGTTTGTTTAGTTTTTGATATGTACATCAAAAAAAAGAGAAAATAACATAGCATAGCAATATGACACAGAAGGATTTAATAAACTTGATACAGAACAAATACGCAATTATTTACAACATGAAAAGAAATTATTTCTTAGTGATGATGAAATTAAAGACCTTATGTTCGAAGTTGTACTTCATAGTGACAAAGTACCAAAAACAGAATTTGGTACATTAGATAGTAATATTAATGAAAAAAGAGATGAATTAATGACTAAAAGTAATGAAAATAATACACCAACACAACAACATGAATTATGGTTATTATCAGAAAAAGAAGTTATTCCACAAAGTGCATTAGTATTTGATGCAGGTGATATTGAAGTTGATAAAGAAGAAAAGCCAAGAAGAATTAAGCCATTTACAACAGGAGATTATCCTGGATCAGACCAAAAACCAGAAGATAGAGCAGCAATTGATACAATATTTGCAAAAACAACAGTAGTAAAAAGAAAGAAATTTGAATTTATATTATCAAAACCAAAAGTGCAAGAAATGAAACATATTGAAGCAAAAGAAAAAGATGAACCAAATGTAGATTATTTAAGAGAAGATGGACCAATTCCAGATCCTAGAATAATTTATTCAAATACTTTTGGTAATTTAGATGATTCGTTTAAACCTGTTGATGAAGCAAATGAATTATGTGACAGATATGATGTTCAACTAACAAATACATATGATAAACAAATTCAATTATTTATTGTAGAAGTAAATAAAATAGGATTAATTGAGCCAAATGATAATTTGCCAACAGAACCATTATTTGGGGTATTTTCAATTTATAGTGCTGATGAAACAGATCCAAATAAAGCAAAATTAACTGAAAATTTTTATATTGATATTAATACTAATGAACAACGAGCTTCTATTAGAGAATTATCATGTGATGATGCACTTAATAATGATTTAAATAAATTTTGCATTGGACTTAAACAAAATATAGCAGAAAAATCACATCTAAAATGTGTATTAATGGTATATAAAATTGCAGAAAGTGATCAACAAACTGCAAGAGATTTATATATTGCAGGAAGTAAAGATTCTAAAATAAAAATAAAACAACAAAATAAAATATTTACACAATTAAATAAACAATATCTTGGAATTGGATTTGTTGATTTTAATGAACTTATCAATGGAAAAATAAAAGGAAATAATCTTCCAATTTTTAGAGAAGATATTGAATGTCCTAAAGATGTTATTTCTTTATTTGAAATTGAAAAAACAGGAAAATTAAAAAAAATGATTATTGAGTGGTCAATGAATATTAAATTATTTGATAAAAAAAATGATAAAAAGAAATATCGGTTATTAGACCCTTCAGGATTTGATTTAAAAATAGGAAATTCCAAATCAACAATTTTAAGACAAATTGAAGATTTTACTAGCCT